GACAACTTAACCATGTATGATGCTCATCATTATACTCTTTTGATAACAAGTGTTGGTCAAGTAACACTCGAGCGGGCATGGGTTGGAACAAGCTGATTCATTTTTGTATGTTATTTGAAGAAATATTTTATCTTATAATGATGAAACAAAGAACAAATAGTTCATAAATGAAGAATGTAAATGAAGGATAGAAATAATAGGTAGATTAATTTATTTCAATTAGTTGAAAGATAAAATTTTGCACTTATTTAAGTATCACAGAATGAAAATATGAGTTGAGATAAATCAAAATAGGATAGACAAAAATAGATATTGAGACAAATCAGAAAAGAACGGGCCAAGAACGGTACGAGACATGACGAAAGTAGTACCAATATTCCGCCAACTCTATTGCAGGTTGGGAAATACTCGCCCAACACAACTGGTCAGATTGAATTATACCTGACGAGACGGGTTCAAATTATTATGACTAGTTGTAGCCAAACAATGACAATTCTCACATGATAAGTCTCAAATAACTTAAAAATAACACATTTATTAAGGGTAAATGACACATTTGGTCACTGAGATTACTAAATTGTGTCATGTATAGTCACTAGAAAAAATTAATATCAATTTTGGTCACTCGAATTACCGAAAATGGTCAAATTTAGTCACTCTCCCGTCAGTTTCCGTCCAACTCCATTAATGTAGTTCGACGGAAACTTTTGGGAGAGTGACTAAATATGACATGTTTCAGTAATCCGAGTGACTAAATGTGACATTTTTCAATAATTCGAGTGACCGGAGTTGGACAGAGGCTATAGAAGAGTGACCAAATGTGACCTGTGTCAGTAATTCGAGTGACCAAAATTGATATTAAATTTTTCTAGTGACCAAATATGACACGATTTAGTAATCTCAGTGACCAAATGTGTCATTTACCCCATTTATTAATATAAAAAATGCAATCATTAATTCTCGAGATACCACATATCCAAAATACCTCATCAGTACCACCCAGTATAACATTTTATCTCTTACAAATTACAATTGCCTTGTATTTTTCTTACAACTCATGCATGTTAACATATGTTTAATAACCAAATTCTTGCAAAATAAAATTTTGTACGAAGATTAAACCATTCAGCGAGTCAGTTCTCAATTCATTCATTTGACACTGTCCGTTTCTCGTGAAAACACTTTACGTCAGAGCAGGTGAAAGCAAAGAGAGTGACTGTCACAGTCATAGCATAGCAGAATCCAATCCCTTTCATTTCCTCCCCAATTTCACAATTCAATTTTCTTCTCCATAACCAAGAAACGAAGCTCAGCCGTTCATCTCCTCTGTATATTTAAATTCAAAATCGGAAGAAAATGTTAAAAAACAACCTTACTGTAATACTGTTTGCAGATAACAAGGACAGGAAACAGAAAACATCACCATAAAACATGGTACTGTATATAATGTCCTCTCCTCTGCTCTCTCTCTCTCTCTCTCTCTCTCTGTTGCTTTCGTCTTTGCCTTTTCCCTTTAACTCACAAACGCCTCGCCTGTGGCCACTTCAATCCTTAATTTTCTTCTTGTTTGGTTATGTAAAGCAACATCTATGAAAATCAAATCCCCAACCCAAACACTAATGGAGTGAGCAAAAAAAAGTATATCCCCCTTCCACACCTCCATCTATGGCTGCCACCACTCATTCTTCCAACGTGAGCTGCTTTTATGTAATCTCCAGACTGGGTTTTCCCCTGCATGCCCAGAGCTGATTTGGGTTGGCACCATTTCTTGGATATTCTTATCCACCATGATCAAAGCTTGGAACTTTTGGATTGAAGGAAGATGTGAAATATAAGCAGCAACAGTCAAAGGGAGGGACTTTTTCTTGTTGTTGTTGTTCTTCTTCTTCTAGGGAAGTGGTTCCTAATACTCGTAAACTGTTAAAAAGATGAGGGTGTTGTTTTTTTATTGTCTTGTCCTTGCTGGGTTTCTGTGCAAGTTGTTGTCATTCATTCCTTTGGCCGCTGCTGTTGCTGCTGCTGATGAAGAAGCTCTAATGGCGATCAACAGGGAGCTTCAAGTTCCAGGTTGGGGAGCCAACGAAACAGATTACTGCAACTGGTTTGGGGTTTTCTGCAGCTCAAACCGGTCGGTAGTTGGCTTGGGTCTCTCGAGGCTTAATCTTCGAGGTAATGTGGTTCCAATCTCTGACCTCAAAGGATTGAAGCACCTCGATCTCTCTGGAAACAACTTCAATGGCGAAATACCGTCACCCTTCGGCAATTTGTCTCGCCTCGAGCTTCTCGATTTGTCTGTGAACAAATTCGATGGCTCGATTCCAAGGGAATTGGGCAGTCTCACTAACCTCAAGTCCTTGAACCTCTCCAATAACATGCTTATGGGTGAGATCCCTGGTGAGCTTCAAGGTCTGAAAAGTTTGGAGGAGCTTCAGATTTCGAGTAACAGGCTGAATGGTTCACTACCATCATGGATAGCCAATTTCACAGAGTTGAAAGTTTTCACTGCTTATGAGAATTTCTTGAGTGGTGAAATCCCAGACAACTTGGGTCAATTCTCCGAGTTGAAGTTGCTGAACCTTCATTCAAATCAGCTTGAAGGTTCAATCCCAAAGAGCATTTTTGCTAAGGGCAAGTTGGAGTCTTTGGTTCTGACTCAGAACCGGTTCAATGGTCAGCTTCCGGAATCAGTAGGAAACTGCAGAGGACTCTCCAGCATCAGAATTGGGAACAATGAGCTTGTTGGTGGTATTCCCAAGTCAATTGGCAACCTCAGTAGCCTTACTTACTTTGAAGCAGACACCAACCATTTGTCTGGTGAGATTGTTTCAGAATTCTCCAGTTGTACCAACCTCACCTTGCTCAATTTAGCCTCAAATGGGTTCAATGGAATTATCCCACCCGAGTTAGGCCGGCTTGAGAATCTTCAAGAACTCATACTTTCAGAGAACAGTCTATATGGTGACATCCCCAAATCAATCGTTGGTTGTAAAAGTCTCAACAAGCTAGACCTCACGAACAATCGTATCAATGGTACTCTTCCAATCGAGATATGCAGCATGTCGAGGTTGCAGTACTTGCTTCTGAGCCAGAATTCAATCAAAGGTGAAATACCTCGTGAGATTGGCAACTGTCTCAAGCTGCTTGAGTTGCAAATGGGGAATAACTATTTGGTTGGGACTATCCCTCCAGAGATTGGTCACATTAGAAACTTACAGATAGCATTGAACTTGAGCTTCAACCATCTCCATGGATCACTGCCACCTGAGTTAGGCAAGCTTGACAAGCTTGTCTCTTTGGATGTCTCTAATAACCAGCTTTCAGGTGACATCCCACCTTCATTGAAAGGAATGTTGAGCTTGATCGAAGTAAACTTCTCCAACAATCAGCTCACTGGTCAAGTCCCCACTTTTGTCCCATTTCAGAAGAGTCCGAACTCAAGCTTCTTTGGCAATAAGGGCTTATGTGGCGAGCCACTGGTGTCAATGTGTATGAACTCTGACCATGAGAACTATGACTACCATCACAGGGTTTCTTACCGAATCGTACTAACTGTTATCGGTTCTGGTTTAGCCGTATTCGCCTCTGTAACTGTAATTGTTCTGCTCTTCATGATGAGAGAAAGGCAAGAGAAGGCAGCAGCCAAATCAACAGCAGCTGATATTGCAGATGAGTCAGCAGCAGCAGTTGTTGAGGAGAAGCCAACAATATCAGCCAGCAACGTGTTCATCGAAAACCTGAGACAAGCCATTGATATCGAATCAGTAGTGAAAGCGACTCTCAGGGAGTCAAACAAGCTCAGCAGTGGTACATTCAGCACAGTCTACAAAGCAGTGATGCCTTCAGGGATGGCATTATCAGTAAGAAAGCTGAAGTCCATGGACAGGACAGTAATTCACCACCAGGGAAAGATGATCCGAGAGCTGGAGAGGCTGAGCAAGCTGTCACACGATAACCTTGTACAGCCCCTTGGGTTTGTGATCTACGAAGATGTTGCTCTCTTGCTGCATCGCCATTTCCCCAACGGTACACTGGGGCAGCTGCTGCACGAGCATAGCAAGAAGCCGGAGTACAAGCCTGACTGGCCGACAAGACTCAATGTAGCCATTGGGGTTGCTGAAGGGCTGGCTTTCCTTCACCACCTGGCGATCATACACCTTGACGTGTCGTCTGGTAACGTTCTTTTGGATGCTGATTTTAGGCCCGTGCTTGGTGAGATTGAGATATCAAAGCTCCTTGATCCATCTAGAGGCACTGCTAGTATCAGTGCTGTTGCTGGCTCTTTTGGTTACATTCCTCCAGGTAACAACTTTTGGGCACTTCTCTATACCATACTATCTGTGTATTTGGCTCAGTTTTCACTGGAGTTGATCTAAAGGATCTGACTTTGTCACCTTTGCTTCATTTCCAGAATATGCTTACACAATGCAAGTCACAGCGCCAGGGAATGTGTACAGTTATGGAGTAGTGCTGCTGGAGATCCTGACTACGAGGTTACCGGTGGAGGAAGAGTTCGGCGAAGGGGTGGATTTGGTGAAGTGGGTTCATGGTGCACCGGGAAGAGGAGAGACTCCGGAGCAGATACTCGATGCTAAACTGAGCACGGTGTCATTTGGATGGAGGAGAGAGATGCTGGCCGCCCTTAAGGTGGCGTTGATGTGCACAGACAGCACCCCTGCGAAAAGGCCGAAGATGAAGAAGGTGGTGGAGATGCTTGAAGAGATCACGCAAATGAAGTAACTATTCGAATTTTTTTGTTAATTTGATCCACCATTGTGAAACGATGTATGGATTAGGAATAGGATGGGCGTTTAGCTAGCTTGTTCCTGAAATGAAATGACAAACATATCCATTCACAAAAGATCCAATGCTGCAGTTGGCAATCCACACCTAGCTGATAGCATCAGTCAAATTGCATATACTGGCGATCAGATAGGTATGGCTTTATCATGATTTTGTTGCTGAACAACGAACATTAGCTTCATCAATATGATCATCTATAACCACAAACACTACCTGCAGAAATTAACAATATGTACCTAACAGGACAAGCAATACACAACCATTGAATGTTTTCCTCTTGAGCTCTTCATTAACAATTGAACAATTTCGTTAACTCGGGGAGAGACTGGAAAGAAGAAGGGAGGTAGCAAAGGGAAACCATATGTATAGCAAGCAGGCAACTAAAGTGCCTCAATGCGTCAAAAACAAAATTTATTACGATTCAAGAAACAGAACTCACAACCAACTTCCTTTTTCCACGGAGGGTATCTTGACATCAAGGCCTCAGAAACATGATAATGAAGAAGTATTAATGGCCATACGTAATGTAGTTGAACTAAGTTATTTTCAAACCCATCATGAGAGACAATAAGCTTTTAATCTCGGGACTTAACGATGAAGTTCTGGCGACTGATGGGATTCATCACAACTGGTGGACCGGCAGTGCGAGGCCATGCCTGGAATTTCTTGTCAGTCTCCTCCCACCATTCCTTGTTCGAGACTGTACCCGGAGTGGAGCCTGGAAAAAGAGATGATACATCAATTGAGCACAAGCAAGCAACGAATGTGTCCAGATAAAAAGAGGCAACTAAAACCTTACCGCCAAATATCTTCACATCAGATACAAGTGTGTCGCATAAATAGGCAATTGGGAATGATGCTGCTATAGCAGCGATTACATACTTGCCTGACATGATTAACTGCAATGGAAAGAATCAACCATTACAAAGGTAAGCCAACAATAAGCTTATATGCCTAGACAGTCATCTCTCTCGGCTAATGAATCCATATATCCATTGTACCAGCAGTTAATTCTAACAATACAGGCGCTTCAAGAGCTGCATTAGATATAAACATGAGCTCATTACCCCTGGCAAGCACACTCCATATCCTAATGCGGGGACAGCGACGATATAGAGTATCCTAGAGCCGCCAGAAGAGCAAACACAAAAGACATGAGAAAGAAGACAGTAACCTAAGGGTCGTCGTCTCACGTCTGGCACTTGGAAATTCAAAGATATACTCTAAGCGTGCGTGCATGCATCACAGGAAATAAATCATTCATTTGAGGTATTCTCACGGTCAAACAAATCCAATGGCCTATTTTTACAATTGAAGGTTGATGTCAACTTTGAAATCCAAACCACACATACTAAGAATCACAGGTCCAGAAGAATCCTCAATCTCTAATCTATCAGTGATTTGGTAGTGATGTCCTCCAATAACATATCAGGAATAAGCGGTAACTCCCTAGCCCTTGCCTCAAGTGCATCCCCAATCTACCTCTCTATGGATCAAACAAGCCAATTCAATCCGTGCCGATTTGGTGAGGGATTTAACCAGTACAAATCTCCACCAAAAGCGAGAAAACTCCGGATTGCGACAATTTGTCGAGGAAAAGATAGGTGAATTTCACTGTATAGAGACATCGCAGCATAAAGATACTCAAACTCAACCAAGGAGATATAAAACAAACCCTACATACCGAAATCTGAATCAATCGATCCCCAACCAATAACCCTAATCCTCTAGAAAGCACAGAGCCTGACGAAGCAGGAAAATGGCAACGAGAGAGGAAGAGACTACGCACCGGAAAAGAGTCGGAAATTGGAATCGCCGATTGGGGATCGGAACGCCGAGAACCAGAGAGGAGGATCGTTGGAATTTTTCTAGAGGGAAGAGGAACCAGGTTGGTTACTTTAACGGGATATATTGCCCTGCTGCTCGAAAACCTTGGACGGCGGTGTCGTTTTAAAGTAATTACATTTCCCATTTTTTCCTCTTATTTTTGTGATCTGCAAGTTGCAACCCAATTTAATTAAACTAGTCCTCGTATTATGTTTTCCTTACATTTAATCCTTATATTATTAAAAATTAACAAGAGACTCCTCTACAAAATCAGACAACTTCATTTATGGGCAATTGCCAATAAAGCTTCCGTTGAAATTGATGATAAATGACGATGGAACTAAACACTTCATCATCTAAGTGATTTATCTATTTGGAATCTTTGATGACTTGCGAGAGCTTTCAAAATATGAGTTGATCCGTTTCAGAAGAATTCGATGGTAATAAGTAGAAGATGAACATACATGTCGATTTGAAGACTCTTCGAATTAATTGATTACAGTATGTAGAGTCCACACCAGCATTCCAAAACGGCTAATAAATTCATCAGCAAAGAAAATGGTAAAATGCCGAATGCCTCCTCATCTACTCATGCTACATAAATCAACAAAGTATGTCACATTGTCACTAGTCACTACACAAATCAAGATCACAAATGTAATTGAAAAACTTGCAAGCTGGGCGGGCCGAAAGCTAATCGAGTGGAGTTTAAGTTCACGTTCGGTCCGGTTGCTGTTGATCCGCCCGCCTATTCTTCTTCAACAACTTGGGCCGGGGCTTGACGGGCTTCAGAAACTGGGCCTGCAACCTCACCGCCTCCCTCAACAACCCAATCAGCCTCCCTTCAATCTCCGCCCCTCCTCCTCCTTCCTCCTCCTCCGCCGCTCCCACCCACCGCGCCACCGCCTCCAGCGTACTCACGCAGCCACCGCACGGCTCCTTCCTCAGCACCAGCTCCGATTCGTATATGCTCCCTCCTTCCACCGCGCTATCGAACCCGTCCAAGCACGCCCTCCTCGCGAATTTACTCAAATACCCCTCGCTCGCCGCCACCATCTCCTTCGCGTGCTTCCACGTCGCGTCGAACGCGATCACGACGCTCGCTTCCCCCTTGCTCGAGATCTCCGCCAGCGATTGCCTGAGGTCCGAAAGAGAGACTGCCTCTGGCGATGAGGGAGTGGGCGGGAAGAGGTAGAATACGTTGCGAGGGAGCTCGCCGCTACTCCCGTCGGGGAGGAGACGGCGGAGGAGGCCCGGGGTGAGCCTGCGCGCCACCGCCGAGGCCGCGTTGGAGAGTGATTTGGTGATTAGCGGCGTCGTGCTGAGCTTGTGGCGGGACTCGTGAGGGTGCTGCAGGATTACGATTCGCGTTGCGGTTGGGATCGGCGGGTTGGGGATGACGTGGCAGAGGCACACCGGTTTCGGCCGGTCGCATCCCTCGCAGATCGAGCGCCGCCGTTGCTGTGGCGGAGGGAGATCTGTATATGAATCGGGCTCCTCCGCCGCCACCGGTTCTTCCATTAGCGCGACTCTTTCCTCCCTGTGAAGCCGTGCTCAGGGAAACGAAACGGTGTCAAAAGTACCTGCCGAGACCCCAAACGCAGTGTCGTTTCGGTAGACAGCACAGCTAAACAGCGTCGTATTTGCAGAATGGGGGAAATCAAAGAATCAAGCATCGTCCTTTTGTATATGTAAATGTCGAGCGCGGGAGGGAAAAGCGAGTCGAGTGTCCGATAGAGGAAGAAAGCGTGAACAAGTCGACAATGGCGACTGAAAGCTCGGAATCGACGAGTAGCAGCGCAACCGTTTCGGAATTTATCTACACTCCATTTTACTGGTAAGGAAGTGCGAATTGCTTTCTGCTGATGATTTACTTCAATGCCTTGCCAGTAATCATAATGAGCAAGCTTGTGAATTTTTTGAACAGCAATCGTTTTGTTGTTAGGGTTTGATTACCTCTCTAGGATTGGAGGTGGGTTTCATGGTGTGTGTGAATTTCGTTTTGCTAGTGTAGTTTCGTGATGAGCAGAAAGTCTGAGACTTGATCGCTGCGCTGTTTTGAAGTTATTCCAGTCTAGGAGATCATTAGATGACGGTATGCTGAAGGTGTGTAAAAGAGTACACTCTTGAACTATGTATTTTGGTGTGATGCTGTTTATTGCAGTGAGGAGAACATATATTTTCTATGCAAGAAACTCTGCGAAAATGGGAGGGCAAATGCTGATGGATCTGATTTGTTTGTCGTGTTCATCTCCAATGAAAAGAAGGCGGCAGGGTCCTTAAGGAATTCCTTTATGGAGTTTGATTTACTGATTGGGGGCGAACCTCGCAAGTCTTGGTTATTCATTGTAGATCCCGCTTTGGAATCAGAAGGCGAGTACACGAGCAGATGGGGTTGTGCTATGGGATTATCATGTCATTTGCATTCAGGTGAGTTAACACTTAAAGCACCATCTTACTGGAAATACTGTGATGAAGTTAGCTGAAGGGTGGACAATGAAATGTGGTTTATGTTCAGCATTGTGATGTGTGTGTTATAATTACCTGGTTTTGGCAATGCTTCAATAACCAATCTGTTATCACTTATCAGGTTGTATCGGGTTGTGCAAGCTCCAGTATTTCTCCGCGGATTTGCTTCTGATATAAGGCATATGAAAGACTCTGCCGGTAACTGGAACGCTCAACCCCCTGCATATGAACAGAACCCATTGTTGCTGAAGGTAACTAACTTCTATGGATTGGCTAGGTCTTGATCATATACACGTAACGTCTTCCTGTCGCTTGAGTTGCCCATCATTATGCATACAGTGCATGATTCTACCTTACTGTGTGACTTGTTGGAAAAATTTGCAGATGGAACTGTGAATAACCTGAAGGATTACATGGACATCCATGCACCAACCGAGGTGGCGGCAATTGAAAGAGCTGATAGAGATGGTGTTGAGGCAGGATGAGAAGCATGGGGCGGTAATAAAGGAGAGCCAGGTGAAGGAATTCTTCTCACAACTGAATCTGCCCAATTGCTCCCACTGATTAGCAGCAATTAGTAAATTCTCAGATAACTGGCAGAAGGAAAATCTTGTGTCTGCATATGCATGATTGACCTTACTGTATTGCTTCTGTGCTCTCAATTGATTCGTGGAACGCTGGTCAAGGAAATAGAATCAAGCCCATTAGACAACATTTGCCATTGTTGTCCTGACATTCACTCTCTGTCGAAGCCCAGTGGCACAGTTAAATGTCCTCGGCCCAAATATGGAGGGCTGCGTAATACACCATCTTCCCATTCAAAAGAGGGGGGCTTAGCTCCTGATACAAATACGACTTGAAATTCAATCATAATCTCATTAATAATACGTGTATTTGGTAATTTCAAATATTGGTAAATTCGGTATTGTATTTGGTGGATTCCAAATACCGATATCAAACTACTTGCTCTACTTGTCAGTTGGTTATTTATCCTGAAAAAGCTTAAGACACTAAAAGAATATATTAATTGGAAGGAGAATTCGAGCGTTCAAAAATTGTATTGTGATAGAAAATCGAAGGAAAGAGGAGGGAATTGCATGTGTGCAGCTAGGGCTGGCTATTTGGACCGGGACCGGATGAAAAATCGGAAACCGGACCGTATAATTCGGACCGAGATTGGACCGGGACCGGGACCGGATAGTAAACAATCCAATCTTTGGGCTTAGATTTGAGGTAAAAAAACTGGATAAAGACCGGATAAGAGAGCTCAACACCCAAAACTTAAGGGTAATTTGCATAAACGGTGACAAACCTTTGCACTTAGTACAAAACTTAACCAACTCCTCACCCTTTTAGCCCTTAGGCCACTCAAATTCCCACAATCTCAATATAAAATCAAGACCGAATTGGGACCGGACCGGGTCAAGACCGGACCGGATCAAGACCGGACTTTATCCAATCCAATTTTCGGTCCTTATATTTTCAAAAAAAACCGGACTGGACCGGATCAATTTGGGCCAATTTAACCGGCCCGGACCGTATAGCCACCCCTATGTGCAGCATGCTTGCATGGCTAGTGATTGAGTGTTGCATTTTAATTTTCTTAAATTGGTCTTCTAGTTCTTTCTCAATTCATGTTTTATGTAAGGGTTAAATCAAGATTATCTAACAAAGAAATTTTAAAGAATATTATCTTTTTGTCTAATAATGTAGTAGTTGAGAGTAACTTTCAGTCAAATCGTCGCAACACAACTAACCAGAAAGGAAGGAAGAAGAAGGATAAAGCAACTAAGCAACAACAACACAGAGAGAATGTTAGTTGAGAGCGTAAATTTAGGACTGTACTTAAGAAAAGTCCTAAACCCCATTATTAAAGTAGCGCGATTTGCGAACATCTAATCCTGATTAAGTCCATTATCAACTCAATCACAAGTACACAATAACCCCATTATACAATCAAATTTGATTAATGAAGCAGAGAAAAACAAGAGACTTATAACAATTACTTAACTTATTAACCCCCATCAAATTGTATGAAAGTGAAAATGTTGTTGATTGTTGTCGAGCTATTGTGCACAAGTCCATCTTTTGCTGTGCTCCTAGTAGGGCTGACTATTTGGGCTGGGTTTTTTGGTTTTACCCGAAACCGGACAGTATAAACCGGACCGGGACCAAATAGTCAACAATCCAATCCAATCTTTGCGCTTAGATTTGAGGTAAAAACTCGTTTGGGACCGGATCGAAAACTGGATAAAGACCGGAAAAGAGAGCTCAACACCTAAAACTTAAGGGTAATTTGCATAAAAGGTCACAAACATTTGCACTTAGTACAAAACTTAACCAACTCCTCACCCTTTCAGGCCTTAGGCCACTCAAATCCCCACAAGCTCAATAAAAAAACAAGATTGAATTGGGACCGGACCGGGTCAAGACCGGACTGTATCCAATCCAATCTTTGGTCCTTATATTTTCAAAAAGACCGGACTGGACCGGATCAATTTGGGCCAATTTAACCGGACCGGACCGTATAACCACCCCTACCTTCTAGAGCTCTTCTCTTCGATTATTTCAATTTCAACCTAAGCCACTAATACAAGGCAAGGGATCTCGTAGGGTTTCGAACATCTCTATAGTTTCGACATACGTTTTGCGGCTCATCGAGGCCAATTAGTTTTGGCACTAACTGTGAGAATGATCGTAATCGATTAATCGACTAATTAACCGTCGGTTGCTGATTAACTAAATTTGACTACAATTAATTGATCACTTGTTGTCTAATCGGTTATCAATATAATCATCAACCACCAATTACCGGTTCAGTTATCGATTAACCGCTAACGGGAAGACCCTTAACCACAACTCAGTGTGTTTCTCCCACTATTACATCAAATTCCAATTAGAACTTCCACTCGCTTCGCACTGATGGGAACTCATGACTCGCTTTCGCTAATCACTTTCTGCTCAGGAAAAAAAGTCTTGCGGGAAAGAAAAGCCCAAACCCCACTCCGACGTCGTCGTCGTCGTCTGTCTAATGATATAATTACCTTAATTAGTGCGGTTTGCTTGGTCACAAATAGCTGTAACCCAATGCTTTGATTTGGGCGACGTACAATCTAAGCTCCCCACCGTGCATGTCTTGTCCTTTCATCACTACGGTGCTCTTCTCTTCCAAAGTGATCAAGATTGTGATAGAATTTTCAATATTTGTTGTTTGGATGAACCAAAGTTTGAGCTACCTTAGTGTGGAAAATAAAGCAAGGATGAAAAAAAAAAAACAGGGTTGTCTATGTGTCTCTTGGGATTTCCAAATTTATAATCATCCAAAATGGATGGTGCAATCTCTACAGAATTTAGAGAAGAATAGTGGATTGTATTCAAAAGCAGAGTTAAATGCCGTTTAGCTTCTTCTCTCGTATTTAATATGAGGCTATAATATGTTATTCAAGTCTCAAGTGTCGAGTAAAGTTGATCGAAATGGTAGAATTGATCACTTCTTCTGAAACCTTCTTGACCAGGGTATTTCAATAGTGTGATGATGAAATGTTGCGATTTACCACAAGTTGGAGATAAAAAAAGCAGAAAGAAGTGTTAAACCAGCAACCTATTATGTAAATATTGATATATGGATGACCAATGACCTACCACATTAGATGCTCACTTGGGAGTTACATGTAACCCCTATTTCTACATTATTATCTCTCATTCATATGCATTGATATAAGGATGTAGTGGTTACCAAAGTGAGCCTATAAATATAGCACACCATTGTATCAAAAGTGTAGAATGAATAAGAAGAACTCTTCCCTCTCTTCTCTTGTGTCTTTCCCTCTCTAATCATCTCTTGTAGTTGCTTATATTTTCATAGTTTCATAACACGTTATCAGCACGAAGCTCTGCTAGCATCATGGTTGGTCATTGTCTCTCTACACAATTTATTATATTGGAGTAAAATCACAATATGATGAAGGTATGCAAATCTTCGTCTTCTTTCATATCTTATTGTCTTATTTGTGGTGAGATTATCTCATTCCAATACATTAAGATGGATGCTACTCTTTTCTCATAGTAAACCATCCATTGATATTTTATCACGTACATCTATTTGGATTAAAATTTTGGGTTGTGTAATTTGATTTATATTATTATGTGTTTTACAATACATACATCGATTCCTTAAAATTAAATTGGTGTTTTGACATTATCGCAAATTAAAATTTGCTCATGTAGTAACAATAACAAGAAAAGTAATATAAGTGATGAGTTAATTTTTCAATTCTCCGTGTTATCCTGTTCTTATCAATCCCATATTGATATGTAGAAAATGCAAGTTCCAAGAGCCCATATATTCCCCAGAAGTGGAAATTGAAGAATTCAAGGGCAAAGAAATAAAATTACATGGTAATAAGAATATTGGTTCTGTATGTTACCATTGTAATGGAAAAGTGTGTTTGTCTCGTACCCGTTGTACTAAAAAAAAAACTTTATTCTACCAAGAATCAAAGGGAAGAGTAAATTCAAATATGCTGATGCAATATCAATATTATTGAGCATATTTTTGTATTATAAGTTGGTATATTCTCCATTAAAGATGAAAATGATATTGCACTTGAGACATTTTCATTCCCAGAAGTGAATGAAACAATCTATTCCCTTAAGTGGATGAAACTATAACATAATTATATATATATGGTATATGTATTGTTTGGATCTTTTCACCAGAAGTGAGAAAAGAGGAGTAAAAGGAGAACTATAAATAAGGATGACACCACAATTGCATTATCAAAGTCATGATAACATAATGTACCTGTTGTACATTATAATTATAATGTATAATGAAATGCATATATAAATTTAAAATCACCTAGTTAGTGATGGTATTGTTCCAAATAAATCTTATTTATTTTTCACAATTGTAGTATTATGATTCTTATTTTTTTTATATTTTTATGTGACGTTATTTTTTCATACATAATTTAATTTGATAAGCTTTATCTAGAACAATTAACTTGATAAATTCATCATTTTTGTCTTAAGTTTGAAATATTCTCATTTATTACTTTTATTATGTTTTTATAAAGTATGAGTACTAGAAAAATTCCATATAAACTATATGGTAGAGTACATAAATAAGAAAAAGCTTCCGAAAGCTTATGTTTGGTTACTTGAAGTAACTAAATTATGTACTCATGATAACAATTTGTGATGATATTCACTAGGAATTTGTGTTTACTAAGAATGCATCAAATCAAAAGTCCCCGGAAGGGTGGAATATGGTACAAAATATGGTAAAGCTTTAAAGGAGCTAATTTTGTGGCCTGAAGGAACCAAACTACCTAGTGATGATGCATTACCCAATTAAAAGGGTATTAATAAAATGAATATCTTATCAAGAAAATAGTGAAACTAATATTTGCATCACAAATATGTACTACATGTATATTAGTACAATCCGTACACATAAAAGTGTAAACCAGAAGTTTACAAGATTTGATAACTTGATAATTGGTTGATCCGGTTAGACCATCCCGGATCTTGATGCGAAAAAAAGTTCTTTGAGAATTCATGAGAACATCATATGAGAATTCAAAGAACTCTTCAACCAAAAGAGTTATTATGTCATGTTTGTTCTCAAGGAGAATATAACAATTGATCATCGCTTGTATAAGAGTTGGCAAATCTCTTGAGATTTTATGGACGTGTATGCAGAACAATACATCAGTCATTTGGATCATTTGTGAATTTTATGGGTTCTTGCATCAAATGGATGATCACATGTATTTTATATAATCGCAACCCGATGTTTGCGAGATTGGTTGCCTCACTATGGATACATTTTGATGGTTATCCAATCAAATATCACTTTGCTTAATAGAACAAGCTGAGCCTTCCAGTCTCTTGTTGAGGACATGCTAGCTGGCAAGTGATAGTATTGGT